GAGGAAGGAAGAGGGGGGGGCAGGAGGATTGGAGCGAAACGACATGGGGGTGCGGGGCGCGATGCGACGGGGCGAAGTGGCGCCGCGTCGCGCGACGCGACGTCACCCCCACCGGGGCGCGACACGCACAGCCCCCAATCAACGCGAGGCGTATTCGTCCTCAGCAACGGTTGGCGCCCCCGACAATGAGCACCAGCAAATCCTCTTGCGCCGAATTGGGAACAGAACGCGTTGGTGGACCGTCGAACTAGGAGTGCGCCGCGCCCGCCAAAATGGCTGCTGGTGCACGGGCGTCGGAAACCTATATATCGCCAGAGCAATTCCGAAGTCGCGCCATATGTCGCCCACGCACTCTGGGAGGCCGGGATTCGGGACAGAGACGCAAACCAGGGCCGGCGCACGGGCGACGCTCGGGCGACGCACTGAACGAGAACTTGAAGGGGGGGGTGGTCGCTTCACTGGGCCTTAACAGTCTAGAGGGTCTCTCGGGCCGTCTTGGGGTGATCTTGGGGGCCTCTTGGACCGCCTTGAAAGGTGTGAAAGACGAAGAGGCGGATATGTTAGAAATGCACGTTTTCCTAAGGGAATGGGACGATTTTTGCTAGTGGGAGCCCTCTTGGGACGCCGCTTGAGGACCTCTTAGGGACCCCTTGGGGCGTCTTGAAGGCCTGTTGGGCCGTCTTGAAGCCATCGTAGGCGTTTGGGGGTGATATTTCGGCGTCTCCCGGCTCTCTTGGACCGTCTGGAGGGCTTCTCGGGCCCCTCTTGGACCGATTTGGAGCCCTCCTGGGCTCCGAAAAAGAGTTCTTGAGGGTTTCTTGGGCCTTCTTGGAGCGCTCTTGGGCCGTCTTTGAGCGGTCTAGAGGGTCTCTCGGGCCGTCTTGGGGTGATCTTGGGGGCCTCTTGGACCGCCTTGAAAGGTGTGAAAGACGAAGAGGCGGATATGTTAAAAATGCACGTTTTCCTAAGGGAATGGGTTTTTTGCTTGTGGGAGCCCTCTTGGGGCGCCGCTTAGGGACCTCTTGGGGCGTCTTGAAGGCCTGTTGGGCCGTCTTGAGGCCATCGCAGGCGTTTGGGAGTGATATTTCGGCGTCTCCCGGCACTCTTGGACCGTCTGGAGGGCTTGCCGGGACCTTGCCGGGACCTTGCCGGGACCTTGCCGGGACCTTGCCGGGACCTTGCCGGGACCTTGCCAGGACCTTGCCGGGACCTTGCCGGGGTACTTTTCGTCCGGGGACCCCCAGGGCCCGCCCCGCGCGCGCGAACTAGAAATACTGTTGAGCAGTTACCGGAGATCTTAGCACGCCTCTGGCCCGTTGGGCCGGCGAATTACGAGGAGGAGACGAGCAGGGGGAGCAGGATCATGACGGGGGGGACGAAGAGCATCAACATGATCAGGATGACGGGGGGGACAACAGCGAAGTGGAGGACGGGGAGAAGGACGAGGGAGAGAAGTAGGACGACGGTGACGAATGACAACGACGACGACAGCGGCGGCGGAATCCTTGAATCTATCGCACCCCAGACGCCCCCAGATGGGAGAGATGGCACAGGGACCTCACGTCCACCAGTAGAAGGACGCGGGCCAGCCCCGACTATGGACAACCCCACGATCAACACGTCTTCAAACTTCCAACATCTTCCCGCTAACACTGTTTCACACGGGTTTTTTTTATCTCCCTCCTACTTCGCCTCCCTCCTCATCCCCCTTGTCTCCCTCTCCTCCTCCTCCTCCTTCTCCTCCTCGTCCTCCTCCTCCTCTTCCTCCTCCTCTTTTCCTCGGAGGACGGCCAGTTGAGAGAACGGCACCTCCCCCGCCCAGCCCACATGTGTTCAAAATCTCGCCCCGGAATCTTCCCAAGACCCATCCTGACCAGTTTTTTTTCACAGCGTATCCAGCCATGACGACGACATGCCTCCAGGAGGCCCAGCGAGGGCTCAGAACGCCACGGAAGGCCGCCGTTGTCTCCTCTGACCCTCCTCCCCCGCTCCCTCGAGGAACAAAACGCGGCAAAAACATCTCGGATCCGCGTGGCGGCGGCATTGGGGAAACCAACAGGTACCGATGCCGCTACTCCCCGGACCTCTCCCGGTGTGCGCTCTGACCAGGATTCCGAGGCGAGTCCAGCGGTGGAGACGAGGGCCTCCCAAGAGGCCCCAAAGGGGGAAAACGAGGGAAGGTAAGCGGTAGAAGTACCATTTTCCTCCTCGGAGGCATAACCACAACAAGCAAACCTGCGGGCAATACTTCTATCCGGATCCAGTGCGTCTTGGGCTTTCTTGGAAGGGGCGCCGCAAGGCTGAGGCGCACTCGATGCGGGTAAAAATCGAGCAGGAGCCGGATTCTAATCCGTATCCAGTGCGCCTCGCATTTCTTGGGAAGCGAGCCCGAAACTCCAAGACGCACTGGATGTGGATGGTTATACACGTCGTTCATTTCTAATCGTGCTCATTTCTAATCGTGCTCGTTTCTAATGGTTCCTGGCCCCCTGGTGGCCAGGAAGAGTTTGGAGTCCCGAAACGGTGCGGTGACACACCGTGCGGTGACCTCGAAATCCCCCAGGACCTCACCGCACGGTTTTGGGACCCTGGAGGCCCCTGTCGCCCGAAACGTCCTCAGAAAGGGACCCGAGTCCCAAAACCGTGCGGTGACCCCGAATCCCCACCGACTCACCGCACGGTGTGGTCACCGCCCCGTTTAGGGGCCCCCGAAAGAGGCCCAGGACAGCACAATTAGAAATGAAAGGATCTTGGCCCCCCCAGATCGAAGACCTCTCGAATAAGTAGAAGTGCTGACACTGCCCGCGAAACCACGGCACAACCACCACAGCACAGCTCCGAGGCTCGCGCGGATGCCGCGGGTCGGCGCCATCGGCCCCTCCGCTGGCGCCGGAGGCGCGGCCAGAGCGCGCCAAAAAAGCCGGCGCGCGAAGAGCGCGCCAGGGGCGGCGCGCGAAGGGCGCCGCCAGAGGGGCAGTGCCGATGCAAGAAATCGCGGACCTTCAAGAAATCCTCCTCCTCCTCCTCCTCCTCCGCCTCCTCCACTTCCTCCTCCTCCTCTAGGAAATCCTCCTCCTCCGCCTCCGCCTCCGCCTCCGCCTCCTCCTCCTCCTCCTCCTCCTCCTCCTCCTCCTCCTCCTCCTCCTCCTCATCGCGGACCTCCAGGACATCCTCCTCCTCCTTCGCCTCCTCCTCCTCCTCCTCCTCCTCCGAAATGAGGCTGCTGCAGCGGGGGATCTGCGCGGAGCTCCAGGATATCTGCGCGGAGCCGCCTGGCTTCGTCTCGGAAGGGTGGCCAACGAAGGTCGGCTACACGCCAGAGTGACCCTGTGCAAGAGTGACCCCTGGTGCGCGCCTTCGTAGGGACCGCGGGGGTACCAAACACAAGCGCGCAAGACGCTACCATCGCGTCGCGTTCGGCGAACGGGGCGACCCCAGTGGGCCCACATCAAAGGTCACTCTTGCGATGGGCCACTCTTACTTTATGACGAAAAACCTGGAGGCCTCGCGGCAATTTGAGACCCGATTTACGTCGGATCCATGTTGGATTTGCGTGGGGGTCACTTCGGACTACAGTCGGGGTCCTGAAGAAGGAACCCTTTTGGTTGGGGAGGGGCTCCGCGTTCCTTAAGTGTTTCACAGCCTGCCTCAGGTTTTCCTTATGTTTTCGATAGGAAATCGAAGTTTAAGTTGTGGAAAAAAGGGGCCTCGTTCCATATTTAGGGTTCCTTGGGTCAACGCCCCGACTGTACGTCGGAATCACGTCGGATCCACGTCGGACTGACGCCAGAGCACCGCCGCGCGAGCGTCGACCCACAGCTTACGGAGCCGCCCTGTGGACTCGATCACACAACTATTCGGCGACGCGCGAGGCCTCCAGGGTTTTCCTTGTAAGCTTGCGTACGGTCGAGAACTCGCCATCGCTCGGACGTCCATTCCGTGTTTTTTGTCGGTTTGGTGCGTGGCTTTTTCGCCAAATGATCAAGGATGCTCCTCGATGATCCTCGCCGAAGGAAAAGTGCACCCGTCCGAGCGATGCCAAGAGAAGGCTGCTGCATGCTGCACGCAGCCAGGCTCGGATGCAACCCCGGGGGCGCCCTGCCTCGGTGGCTCGGCGCCCCGCGGCGCCGGGAGGCACAGGAGAGACCGGCAGCGGGAGCTCCCTCGCGAACCCCGCCTTTGCCATACAGTCAACACGTGTAATAGAGAGGATGCGCAGCGCAGTGGAGGCCAATCCGCAAGAAGCCTTCCACAAGAAACCCGACTCCCCTTGTCCTCCTCCTCCTCCTCCTCCTCCTCTTCCTCCTCCTCATCCTATTACACTTCCGTGTAACTATATAGTCCCACGCTGGGCCTCTCGTGGCCGATAGCCGCCCGATCCTGGGGGGCCTCATTCAACAGATCAAACAAACAATGTAAACTCTACAGAGGAGGCCAGTCCACAATAAACCTCCCACACGAAACCCAACCCTGAGACCCAAGGACGTCTATTGAAATTTTTGGTGGGAACGTCACGCTTTCCACGGCAAAGCCATCGAAGCCCCAGAAACCCAGGGCACCCTGGAGGCAAGCAGGGCGTTTTTTGGTATGGACCTCCATTGAAGGGGTGCAAGGGCCTTGGACACCCATGCCGAGGCTCTTCAAGCGGGGCTGACCATCGAAAGGAGTTGGGGATGGACCGAAGACGACCGAAGAGGCAATTATGCAAGGGTGCCTTTGAGAAGTCGATAATCCTTACTATCAGGGTTGACTGTATGCTGTATGCTGGTGTAGCCCGAAATGTGCACAACGAAATTGCCATTTAAGAAACATGGGCCGGCGTCCCGGATGACTGCTGTCAACGCTGGAGGGGGCAAACGTGCTCAAGAAACTGGGCCAGCTTTCCCGCAAGTTGGCTCCGAAACGCTGGCCCAGGTTTTCGGGAGGAGCTCTCTGAATCAGCAGTGCCTCGTTCTTCGATGTTCCGACGGCAAGCCCCCCCCCCAAAAGCACTGCCGCTCCTGAGTCTCGAAGACGCCGGCGCTGACCTCCCTGAGCACGCCCTCGCGAGGAGGGGGGGGAAAGGCTGCAGCGCCACCGCGCGAGCGGGGGGAAGCGGGCCGGACGACCAGGGGGGCGGCGGAAGGGCAGGAGGGCGGGGTGCAGTCGGACGTGATGGGAGAGGACACGCGAGAGGATCGGGTCGGGCGAAAGGGGGGGATAGTAGCTGATTTTCCCGGCGCCTCCGGGCGCCGGTAGGCGCCCATGTATCGAGGAATGGGCCCGGCGGCGGGGCCGAAACCAGCTGCATGCAGCAAATTTCGTACCCCCCCCTTTCCCAATCCCCTCCTTTCGTCCGGCCCGAGAGGACACGTGAGACCCTTCCGAGGGCCGCGTTGCCATAGGAATGCAGCAGGCACAGGCCGCACAACACGGGGCGCACGGGCACCCTCGAGTTGGCAGGGTCGACCTACTGATCCGGGCTGACTGCAGAGAACTGGAAGGGTTGCACACGCTTCCTAGAAGATTTGCTGCGTCGTGGGGCTGCTTGTTAGTAAGGATTCCTGCAGTATCTCTGCGGCATGGACTCCTCACCACGACTACTCTCAGTATTACGTTTGAGTAAAGGGGTGTCTTTAATAACGGTGCCTTCAGCTCAGTAAGCAGTCGTTGGGGGAAGCCCTTTCTTTATCCAGGAGGAGGAGGATAAGGATAAGGAGGATGACGAGGATAAGAAGAAGGAGGAGGATGAGGAAGAGGGGGAGTAAGCACTCCGCGGGTGGTCGCGGCACCAAGAGTGCCCCTGGACCCTGTACAGGACGTCATCCAAATGATGCCAGGCTCTCCCGATGATTAGGAAACCCACAAAGGACGTACGCATCAAACTATGTACATGAACACGGCCCCTCGATCCGCGAGACCGGCCGCGTGATACGAAACTTCGCACAATGCGTGCACTCGAAATCAGCGTAGATTCATGCACATGTACGTCCTTCTTTCGCTCCTGAATGATGGCAGCTCCTGCCTTCCGCTGGAGGCGAGATGTGCCGAGTGCGAGACTCGGAGCCTCGTCGACGCCACGAGCAGGGGGTGTTGGGAAGTCCGACTCCGACCATAACCAGCCTAGGCCTCATCCCTATCCCTCGGATCGGCAACACCGAGGCGAAGACAATCCTAGGGATGGTGCCCCCCAGGAACGGAGGGAATCCTCAAGATCGGCACCGAGACAAGGCGATGCCACACATGGGGACCCTGAGATCCTGGCGCTGCAATGTGTTCACACCGGGCGTTGGCGCCGAATTTCGGGCCCCGGGGCCCTCACGGATCCATCCAGCTTGAAAAAGGGCGCAGGAAGACAGGGTCTTGGGCTCGGGTCCCGAGCTTCCACGATGCCGCAATTGTTTCGCAACGTCGGATCTCAGGGGATGGGGATGTTGATGGGCCTGTTCTCCACCAGCACCACCATGAGCTGGAGGGGGGAAGGAGGTTGAGGCTGAGGAGGAGGACGAAGGGGGAGGACGAAGAAGAGGGGAGGACCCCCTCCCCCCTCCAACTTATGGTAGGTCCCGATGTTTCGCGATGTTGCAATTGTTTCGCAGCGTCGGATCCCAGGGGATGGGGATACCCTATGCTTCAATCGGGGGCGCGCAAACATGGATTGGCGATCCATGGGTCGGGCGCGCGGTCGCCGAATCCATGGATCGGGGGAAGTGCCCTCCCCAAAGTGCGGCCGGTGCCGCCTCGTTCGGCGGCTGAAACCCGCGATTTCCCATGGAAGCGGGACCCGTCGCTTATCCACGCCCCCTTAATCCATGTTTGAAGGGGCCCTGGGACACACAAACAAATAGACACAAATAACAGGATTCCCCATATTTTCCCAGTATTTTCTGGGTTTTTGTCTTCCACCCCACTTCCCACATGTTCCTATATTTTCTGGGGAATCGACGATTAATCGTGTCAATGTGTTTTTTCCTCCTCCTGAATGTTTGCGATCGCCTGCTCCGAGCTGGTAGGACCAGGCGCGCCCCGCCCGCCAAACACGGCCCCCAGCGGGGAGGGAGGGCGGCAAGGCCTCCCGAGGCTCCACCCCGACGGCCCGGGGACATCCCAGGGGGCGGCCAGGCCATCGAAGGGAGGCTCCCTCTATACAGCCAGAGCATCTACTCGGCGGCGAGCGAGGGGGGGGAAGGGAGGAGGAGAAGGCCTTCTTAGAAGCAGGGCCTCCCGAGGCTCCACCGACGGCCGGGGACATCCAAAGGGCGGCCTGGCCATCGAAACGAGGCTCCCTCTAGAGACCGTCTTTTATGAATCGGCGATAACCCGGGTTATCCCGGGGGTGGGGGGGGGAGGAAGGGGCCGGCCGATAACCTAACCTTCGCGCTGTGAGCAACCCTGCATATGCCCGCGCCCCCCCACCCTGGATCTGCACAACCGGCAAGGTTAGGTTATCCTAGGGGGGGGGAGGGGGGCAAGCCCGATAACCCGGGTTATCGCCTGACCCTAAAAAAACAGTCTCCTACTGCCAGCTTGGCGGCGAGCGAGGGGGGAAAATGCGAAGAAGAAGAAGAAGAAAACCTTCTCAGAAGACGGCTGGGCTTCTCAGAAGCCCTCGCACCTTCTGAGAAATTTCTGGTGTCTTCAGGGAAGGCTTAATAAACTTCTAAGAAGGCCGGGGGACTTCCGAGCCTTCTGAGAAGGCCTTCTCCTTCTCATTTCTCCCCCGGGCTCGCCGCCGAAAAATGGTAATGGGCACATGTTCATCGACCATTTCTTATTAACGTTCCTGATACAACGTCAGTTCACGCGCAGTCCCCGTCAGTCCACGCGTTTGTGTGGTTTGGAGCTTCCATGTTCAAGCGGACATTTGTGAGGGCCCGCCTCGGTCGAGAATCGCATGGTGGCCGGTTTTAGGTTGAGGCGGTGACACGATTCTAAATCACCTGCTGGAGGCGACAGCCCCTGTCTTCGACCCCCGTTCGTTCATCCAACCTCCGTCTGTTCGACCATCACGCCTCCAGCTAGCCTGCGGGCTTGGGACGCTGGCGATTTAGATCTGAAAGGCAGTCTTTATCGCTCGTTCATCCAACCTCCGTCTGTTCGACCATCACGCCCTCATCAGGCTGCGGGACTTCCGAGCCTTCCGAGAAGCCCCGCTGCCTTCTCGCTTCCACCCCCCCGGGCTCGCCGCCGATCTACGGTCGAGCACTCCTGCTTTAGCGCACCGCGGCGGCGGCCCCTGCGGCCCGCTGCGCTGCGCAGGCTGCCAGCGCGTCGCTCCTCCTTTGCCTCCTCCTCCTCCTACTCCTCCTCCTCCTCCTCCTCCTCCTCCTCCTCCTCCTCCTCCTCCTCCCCCTTCTCCTCCTCCTCCTCCTCCTCCTCCTCCTCCTCCTCCTCCTCCTCCTCCTCCTCCTCCTCCTCCTAGGGACGTGCTCAGCGTGTCGCGCCGGAGAGCGGTGGACCAGGGTCGGCGGCTCAGCACGCGGAGTCAGCGCTCCTGACCGCTGAGCAAGCGCTCCCACTCCTGAAGCCCGTCCTCCGCAGACGCGCTGGGCAGAAGGCAGAACCATCCGCCTCACGACAGGCACCCCCTGCAGGCGAAGCGCTCTGGCAGACGCACCGACGGAAGGGAACGAACAGGGCAGGGCTGCCTGGCATACGCCCAGGACTCTGCAGTACGCTCATCCCTCGAAGCGATGAAGGAGGGATGGGGGAGGGGAGGAGGGCAATGAGGGGAGGGAGGTGACGTCCCAATGGGCACGGCCCCCTGCGTGGCATTTCGCGGACAGTCAGAATGAAGCACGGAGGCGGGATGCGAATACGGAGGAAGAGGGCGGCACTCGGCTACGGGGGTCGCAGTCCCACCTGCCACCCGCACCAATCCAACCCCTATACTTTCTTGATGGAACCTGTGCGAAGCAGCTGTAGTGTAGGGCCAAAGGCATCTGCTAAGTGCTACATAGCGGGGCGTTGCGTCCCAGCGCCACTAAATTCGGCGATGGGGCTGCAGAACGATCCCCGGCACCTGGGGCACCTCTCCTTTAGACGTGGCAGCGCCCTACGTATGCAAACCCGGGCGCACTCGCAAGCTACTAGAATCGTCGGCACACTGCCAATCTCATCTCGATCGTACGACAGGTGCAGACACTGTGGCATGCACGGCCCATGACCGTGGAAACTGTTGTCGCCAGGACCAGCAATCCGCAAATGCTCTGTATGACTTAAAGATACCTGGTTCTACATCTTACTGCCGCATTGACGACGTTTCGTCGAAAGCATAAGGGATGAGGCCAACTCGAATCTAAAGGTCACGAAGCCCCATGCCATGACCTCCACACCCTTCGCTGTCAACGCTGAACCCCCTGAAACCGCAAACTATTCAGCAACTCTGGTTGACATCTTCAATCACATTCACAGAGCCGTGGAGGATTAACAAAACAAAGCGCCAACGCTGTGACACCAGCGAGCGAGCCGACGTGATGAAGCAGAACAACATCTGCACAAATGAAGATGAGCGTATCGTCGGACTCGGACCCAATAGTGCCCGACGATAGGCAGGGAGAAGCTGGAGAGCAAGCTGTGAAAGTCCGCCAACGGGTCCTCCTTCGGGCACATGCGTGCGGCCGCTGCCACATCCACGGCAGCACTGCGCCCTGCAGCTTCGGGAACTGGAACCTGGCAATCGAACAACTAAATGCACGGCACCATCTCGAACACGGCAGCGACGCCGTGCAACCGGTTAGACTGCACTCGTTTGGCTACCCAGAACGCCTTGCCTAACTTGAGCGAACTGTTCACCAAATTGATCACGTGGTGTCCGTCGGAAGTGTCTACCATCTCTTGTCCACGTAGCATCGAAATTGCCCACTGTAATGTGCATATCAAGACTGCCTTTCAGACCTAAATCGCCAGCGTCCCAAGCCCGCAGGCTAGCTGGAGGCGTGATGGTCGAATAAACGGAGGCTGGGTGAACAAATGGGGGTCGAAGATAGGGGCTGCCGCCTCAAGCAGGTGATTTAGAATCGATTCACCGTCTCAACCTACATCTGGCCACCATGCGATTCTCGACCGAGGCTGCCCCTCACACATGTTCGCTTGAACATGGAAGCTCCAAACCACACAAACGCGTGGACTGACGGGGACTGCGCGTGAACTGACGCTGGATCAGGAACGTTAAGAAGAGATGGTCGGCGAACATGTGCCCATAACCTTTTTTTGGCGGCGAGCAGAAGAGAGAAGGAGAAAGCCTTCTCAGAAGGCTCGGAAGTCCCCCCGCCTTCTTAAAGTTTCTAAGCCTTCCCCGAAGACACCGGAAACTTCTCAGAAGGCGCGAGGGCTTCTGAGAAGCCCCGCCGCCTTCTGAGAAGGCCTTCTCCTGCTCACTTCCCACCTTCGCTCGCCGCCGGATACGCCCAGTACCATGCGGGCTCCACATGTATTTGGCGCAAAGGCGGAGGACGTGGCGAAAGGAAGACAGCGAAATCGGCTGACCGTGGCCATACATTAAGCCAGAGAAATCGGCAAGGATCCCTGCCCGTAAGACCGCCCTCGCGATTTTCCCCCAAGTGAACGCCAAATCGCAGACGCGGAACTAAGACAGACAAGGGACTATGCTCGAGAGATGGTCGAGGAAGGGCAGGATAAGTCGGTTGCGAGCGAGGGGGGGAAGTGAGAAGGAGAAGGCCTTCTCAGAAGGCAGCGGGGCTTCTCAGAAGCCCTCGCGCCTTCGGGGAAGTTTTCCGCATCGTCGGGGAAGGCTTTGGAGTCCCGAAACAGTGCGGTGACAGACCGTGCGGTGACCTCGAAATCCCACAAAACCTCACCGCACGGTCCGTCACCGCACGGTCTTGGGACCGCAGAGGCCCCTGTCGCCCGAGACATCCTCGGAGAACGACCCGAGTCCCAAAACCGTGCCGTGACCCTGAATCCCCACCGACTCACAGCACGGTGTGGTCACCACCCCGTTTGGGGGCCCCCGAAAGGCTCAGAAAACTTCCCAGAAGGCCAAGGGACTTCCGAGCCTTCTGAGAAGGCCCGCCCCTTCTCACTTCCCTCCCGGGCTCGCCGCCGATAAGACAGACAAGGGACTGAGCTCGAGAGATGGTCGAGGAAAAGCAGGACAAGAAAGGACAGGCAAGCGAGCGATGGAGAGAGGGGCGAAAGCCGCGGCCTTCGCCACCCAGAAGCCGATCCGCTTCCGCACCAGCTGCTCTGGCAGCTGTAGCTGTGCGGCCACCTCCTCGAGACCACGGCGACGCCTACGACTAGCACGGCGGGCACGACGACGACGAGCACTACGTCGGCGACGCATACCCTCAAAGCATTTTAGCGATTCCAATCTGGGCGATTTCCCTCCATTTCGATCTCTGGGGGCTGTCTTGGGGCCCGAAGGACAAGCAGTGCTCCAGGATCCAAATCTGCCCCCGAGGGAGGGCCCGGGGGAGGGCACAGCACTCGAGAACAGATGAGCGTTCGTAGAGGCTTTGGCTTGGCTTCTCGGGAGCGGCCAAGAGGGGGGTGTCCAAGAGGGGGGGGTGCAAATCATGACCGGCGGCATGTGCGCGGCCCAGCGGGGGGGCCAGGGACGTAATGAAACAAGAAGAGGCGCCATGAAATCTGGGGAAATATCATGGCCCCCGCCATGATATCCACCCCCCCCTAGTCATCACTCCCCTCTTTTCCGCCCCCGAGCTTAGGCGGCCAATGCTTTCTTTGATCTACGCGTCGAGCAGGACCTGTCAGCTTCGGGGCAGGTCTTCCCGCTGAACAGCGAAGCCCTTGGTGTACGCCTTCGGTCTGCGGCCCAGGACCTCCGGCGCGCCGGAACTGCTGCACACGCGGAAGGGCCACGGCATGGCTGCTGGAACTCGGATGGATGCTTCCTGCCTCCTCCTCCTCCTTCTTCTCCTCCTCCTCCTCCTCCTGCTCCTCCTCCTCCTCCTCCTCCTCCTCCTCCTCCTCCTCCTCCTCCTCCTCCTCCTCCTCCTCCTCCTCCTCCCCCTCCTCTCCCTCCTCCCCGTCCTCCCCGTCCTCCCTCTCCTCCCCTTCAGGCCCCCCGGGACAAACCCAAGCATTGCCAGGTCCCTTGCGGACAGAGGTGTTTCTATGTCTGGCGATCCGACGGTGCGCTCACAGACCTGTCGCTACATCAGATTTCCGGGCCGGGGTGCCAGCGGCAGATGAAATCCACAGACGCCTTGCGGATGCACGAGGGTCCGTTTATATGCCCTGGCGATCTGCTCTCCATCCTCTTCATCCTCCTTTTTCTAAAGAAGGCTCACGCTCCACAACTGCCCGGATTCCTCTTCCTCCCCCCCTCAATCTACGACCCCGAAGCTTAAACATTGCAGCAGTTACCTGGATGGAGGGCTGGTGGTGTTCCGAATTTGATTATCCCCTGAGCGCCGTGCCCATGTGTCCTACAAGCTCGTAGTAACTACACGGATGGAGGGCTGGTCATTTTCAGAATGAGCCTCCTGCCTTGACGCAGCGCACTTCCGTCTTGGAAACGTCCAAGAATTAAAACGGAAGAGGGCAGCACGTTTGCAAAATGGGGCTCTCGCCTGAGACCTCATCGAACAGATGTTACCCCAACTTCAAAACGGTGCGACCGATACACTGATGGAGGTGGTATCGCCTGATACTCCGTCTGCCTTGATAACACGGATTTGCAGTTGTGCAGGGGAAGTTCTACTTCAAAGCGGAACTGTCGCCTAGCATTTTCTTGGACTCAGACTCCAACCTTCCTGCATTCCATCGAGATCGGAGAACGAAAAACCGTGCACTTCAAAACGGAGCTCAAGGACCGTGGTGCGCTCGTCTTTCAAAGGGGACGTTTCGCGCAGAGGGGAAGAATTCTGTTAGAGACTTATGAGGCCGGGGACTTAGGGCGGGGACTTAGGGCGGGAGAAAGTATTGCATCATATTTGACGCATGCTGGGTTTACCGTGGTCCTCCTTCACATCCTCCGCCTCCGCCCTCTCCCACTCCTCATCCTCGCCCTCATTTGCACCACCAAGGTCAGCATACTGACCAACATCATCATCACCACCGGCAGCATCAGCAACATCATCATGATCATCATCATGATCATCATCATCATCATCATCATCATCATCATCATCATCATCATCATCATCATCATCACACTCACGGTCATCAACACCGCCATCATCAGCATCACTAGCATGACCATCATCATTATCATCATCAACATCATCATCATGATCACCGCAATTATCATCAATCTCATCAACATCAATATTATCATCATCGTCGGCGGCGCCGTCGTCATCAACCGCAACAACAGCATTACCATCACCACTATCCGCTGAATCAGCATCGTCATCATCATCACCGTCATGCTCATCATCAGCACCATCACCATCACAATCATCGTTATCGCCATCATCATACTTACCACCATCATCATTATCCTCATCCTCATCATACTCAGCACCCTCATCATCATCATCATCATCATCATCATCAGCATCATCATCATCATCAACATAAACATCATCAACATCATCCTCCTCCTCCTCATCATCATCATCGGCATCATCAACATCACCATCATCATCGCCATGATCATCAAGGTCGTCATCATCATCAACATCATAATCGTCATGGTCATAATCATCCGCTTTGCCATCACCATCACCATCATTGTTCCTCTCCCGCCGCCCTCTTTCTCTCCTCTTCGTCCTCACCCGCCTCCCCCCCTCCCCCCCTCCCGCCTCCCCCTCCCTCCTCCTCTCCTGCCACTCCCCGTCCCGCGCGCACTCTCTCGCTGCGGCAGGCAGCGGAGGACTCGGCGAGTGGGGGTCGACGCCTTCGCCCCCCCCCGCTGAGCCATCGCCCCCTGAAACGCTTCGGTTGGACGTGTCTGCCCAGCCTGCCTCAAACCAAGAAGTCTTGAGGCGGCTGGCCGTCTCAGCAACACGTCCCGCGTTACGGGCCGTCCGGCTGCTCGCGCCAGAGCGCTCAGCTCCGCAACGAAATGCAGGCGCAAACTTGTCCACATCCACCGCCTGGAACCGACGTCCTGGCGCCCTTGTGGGCGGTGGACTGGACAAAGGGTAGATATACATCTATAAATAACATACGTATATCCATATATATATATATATATGCATATGGGTATGTCTGTATGTATGTATGTATGTATGTATGTATGTATGTATGTATGTATGTATGTATGTGTGTGTATGTTTGTATGTATGTATGTATGTATGTATGATTGCATGTATGTATATATATATATATAGGTGTATATGTATATAGGTTGGTCCCCTGGGGCCCGAATGCACACATACACATATATATATATATATATATATATATATATGTTTGGGCAGGCGGGGGGTTGGCGGAAACCGATCAAAGAGGAGACTGGGCAGAGCCTTTTGTTTCTTCTCTCTCTCTCTCTCTCTCTTTCTCTGTTTTTTTTTCTGTCGGCCATCGTCTATGTAAGGCTACAGTAAGCCCCACAAGCCTGGGCCACCCCCCCATCGGCCCCATAGCTCGCCTTACCCAGCAGGCAGGAACCTCCGGCCCGCCTGCTCCCAGCTGGCGCCACCGCCTATCTGGAGAGCGCTCTGCCCCCCCCCCAGGCCGGGGGTCGCGGTGAGCAGGCGGACGAGGTGGCCGCGGGAAAGGCGACCAAGGGCCGATAGGGGTGTAACCCAAGGGGCTCCTGACTAGCTCCACCCAACTTACAGACGCCATGCTACAAGCTGCGCGCGCACTTTGGTTCTCTCATCTGGCTAAGAGCCGCAAGAACGGATAGGGAAGGGGCGGAGGAAAAATGAATGAAGACAGTCTCCCCCAATTGCTCTCAACTTTGGTGCCAGTGCGCTCTGGCTCTGGCAGCGAAGGTGGCGCTCCAGTGCTGGAGATCTTGGCGCAAGCGAAGTGGACAATTCATCTCGGCCGAAACTGCTGTTCCATCTTGGATATATTCGCCGTGCGTTGGGATGACCATCGGCCTTAATCGTGACTTTAGAGAGATCACCTGAGGATTAGAATTCATGAGTGGCCCCGCCTCGTCGTAAACTATGGGGCGGGAGCCGGAAATGACTTCAACCGATCTCGCTCAGAGCTCTGCGGAACAGCTGGTGAAACGCACGAGCGGACAGGGGCCATAGCTATGCAGAAACATTTTGGCTGAGCTGCCAATGGACAAAGGCTCCTACGTAAGGGCCATCTAGAGTGACGCGATGTCTTTGTCCAGGGGAGACTGACGACACCGCGTCCATCTGGACGCAAGGAGATGAGGGCCCCACTGAGGTTGAGGGCCTCTCCAGTTCGCAGGCGCAGGTGGTAGGTGGCCATCGCGACTGACGCGAGGACCAGCCCTCTTGCAGCAAGGGCCCAGCCTGCGAGCGCAACACACACGAGTGGCGGCATGGGCGGCGTTCGGCTGGGGACTTCGAGGCGCCCAGGAGGTGCCAGGCTCCAGGCATTTGCCTCCTCGTCTTGAAAAGGTGCTGAATGCCGCTGGGTGCGTCATTGACCTGACCATTTGTGTCGCCTTGCGCCCAGAGAAATTCAGGATGCTCTTAAAGGGTCGGGCCCATCTCATCCCAATCGACAAAGCAGAGGCATGTGGGCGGCGGCGGCGTAGTCAACAGACTTGTGAACTGCTGTGGGATATCGCGCCAACGTCTTGGCGCCAAGTCTGACATCACTCACCCTTCCTAGGCCAGCTCTGGTGGCGCGGCGATCTGAATGCCCTGCGCACTTAACCATCTCTCAAGCGCGACGGGGCATCGGCTGGATTGCGGGACGAGCTCGAGCAACCGAAGACAGCCCACGCACCCATGGCCAGCTCCCAAGCAGAGGAACTGCGCACCACCTTGTTAAGCTGCCTGCAACTGGAACGGTGCTTGGACAGTGCGCGGATGTTGACCATCGAATCGAGGATATGCAGACATGCTGGTTCGTGGCGCGCGACCGATCGGGCGCGCCAGCGAATCATCATCCGAGTGCCCAGGCCCTCGAGCAGGCGGGAGTGCGAGCGGAGCCAGGAGGCGCGCGGCGCCGCGGCCTCCGCGCGGGCGCGCCCCTTGGCCACGAAGGGGTTGGCCCGGGCCGAGCCTGGGACGCCGGGGCTCTGCGATCCCCGACCGAAGTGCACGGGGCCGCCGGGCTGGCCCAGCCCCTCGAGGGCCCCCGTCCGCGCCGCAGCGAGGCCGGGCCCCCTGTCCACAGGCGGCGCCCGCCGGCCCAGGCGCGGGTGCTCTCGCGCAGCTCCGCGAGCGAGGGGGCGGCCACCAGCGGCCCTGCAAGCGCCGCCAGGAGGCTCACGAGCCAGGCCGCCACTTCGCAGTGGAAGGAGTTCCCGATCGAACCTGCGTGGGGCCTCGAACTTGTCGGGCTCCTCCTTGACGGCGCCGCTCGGCATGCGCGGGGCGGCGTGGCCCTCGGCGAAGCCCATGAGCTGCTCGCGCACCGAGACGGGAGCGGCGCGATCTTGCCATGCTGGTGAAAGCACCACTTGTCTCGGAACTGGCGCGGCGGCGCCGCGTTGCCCGCGTCGGCCTAGCGCTCCAGTTCATCTTCGCTGCACTCCGCGATGGCCGCGGGCCGCTGCCTCGGCTGCTTCCTCGGAGTCCACCGCGCAAAAGTGGGCAGGGGCTTGCCTCCTTCAGGTCCAGGACAGCGAGCGCCGGATGGCAGCCACTCCTCCAGAGGCGGGCGCTGGCTGCGGAGCCGAACCCGCCAAGCCCGCCGAGCGCCCTTCGCCTGCTTCGACATTATCACCTCGGAGGTCGACTCGTGGCTCGGCTGCAGGTCCCACGAGCACCAGTAGAGCCTGGGGCGTTTGACCCAGCCGATGTCACCAGCCTCGATCAAATATGGGACCCTCTCAAAATATCCACTGAGGACCATCGCGTCGCGCTCCCTCAAAGAGCGACACCTCTGGCCAGGAAGTCGATGCGAGCTTCGGGGGGGCCCGCCGCAAGGCCGTCAGCGATGCGCTTCAGGTGCTGCGCCGGGCCAGCGCGAGGGCATGCTGGGCCCTGGCGGTCGACGTCGAGCGCAGCGCGTCCTTGGCGCGGGAAGCCGCCCATCCGCCCATGACCAAGACCCGCAAGATACGGCCCCGCCCCCTCTTGCGCTTGGCGAGGTCGCGCGGGTCGGCGGCGCTCGCATCGCCGAGGTGGATCGTGCTCGGGATCGCGCGCCTTGCCGCGCGGACGGCGGCGGCGTCGATCTCGAACGAGAGGTGGATCGCCGGGGCGAGGCCTCGGATCTCCAGGGCGCGCCGTCCCCCGCCAATCCCGTCGAAGAGGGCGATGAGTGCCGTCTCCTCCTCGCCGGCGGTGTTGCAGGGTCGCCGGCGCTGGGCGGCGACCCGCGCGCCGCGCGGGAGAGAGCCCCGTGCCGTAGACTACCGCGCCCGCCATCTCGGAGGCGTCGGAGGCCGCGACAAGATGGTCGACCTTCAGCCTGAGGTCCGCCACGCACAGGGCGGATAGCGCTGAGGAGAGGAGCAAGTTCCATGCAGCGCCCAGGCCGGCGCGGCCTCCCGCCGGCGCGTCCGCGAGACAGCGCCGCGCGCAAGCAGAGCTCGACGCGAGTGGGCGGCGGAAGCAGCGGACCCGCGCCGAGCGGCCGAGCAGGATCTGCGTGAGCTTCCTGCTGTCACGACGCGTGCCCAGCACCCGGAACGCAAGGGTGGCCGTCTGTCAGGTAACAGCCCTCGAGGGGGCGACGGATGCCCTCCATGCCGTCCACGAGCTCGCCGAGGGCAGTGGCGCGCGCGACCCGGTGGATGTCCTTGCCTGGGGGGCCACGGGAGCCAACCTGCTCGCGGCAGGCGCGCGCTTCGGTCAGCGGCGACGGCGCGGCCCCCTTCAGCTCGGCTGCCTCGCTCTTGCCGGCGACCTCGGCGATCTCCAGGTTGTCGATGTAGACCAGCCAAGCTGCAGGGCAGGGCCGCGCCCGTCCGGGCGGTGGGCGACGACGTCGGGTGATCTCGTCGCTGGGCCGCAGGCCTCGCGGCACCTCGCATGTTGCGACGCCGGTGAGTCGTGGCCCCCGCCGCGCTGATCCACCCCATGCCGGTCACCTTCAGGCAGACGTGGGTGGACGCGCCCGCTTGACCGCCCACCAGGTCGGCGGGGGCCGGCGCCCCGAGCGCCGTGCGCGGCCGCCGCGGGCCAGGGGCGCGGAAGACGTAGAAATTGGCCTTCCGGTCGGCGCCGCTCGACGGGAGGTCCTCCGTCTCGGCCAGGGCCAGACCGTTCAGCTGGCTCGTGGTCGGCAGCTCGGGGGCTTCGCTCTGCGTCGCGGCCCGGCAGGCGTTGGGCGGGATCAGGTTCGTGATCGGCCTTGAGGCGGGCCCGCCCGCGCCGCCCCGGCGGCGCGCCAGCGGGTCGCGCGGCTTGACGGCGCCAAAGGCGCCGTTCAGCAGAGGCCGCCCGTCCCGCGTCGCGATCTTCGACTGCTCTGTGGGACCAGCTATGCCACGCGTGCAAAGGGCATCCACAATGCGGTGCCACTCCTCCGCCGAGACCCAGACGCGCGCCGAGGTGGCCGCCGCTCGCCGCTCAGCGGGCGGAAGCAGGACGAGCGTCGCGCCCAGCGCGGCGGCGCGCGCGAAGCCCGCGGCCAGGTCGGCGGCTTCGGTGGAGGCCGCGACCCCAGGCGGCGGCAGTCCGTCCAGCACCTGCTCGAGCGTCAGCCTCAGTGGCGTCGAACGCGACCCGTCGCAGGCGATGCTCTTGCCCTTCAGGCGCTCGGGCCAGTCGGGCTCAGGCGGCAGCGCTACCTCGGACAGCGTGGCGCGATAGATCCTCAGTGCTGGGGCCCGAATGGCAGCCGCCTGCGCAGCGTTGGCTCGGCCTGGGCAATACTAGGCAAACTTCGGGCTGCGGTGGCCAGCCTCCCCGTTCAGCCCGATGATCGTCACCTCTAGCCTGCAAAGGAGCCCCTCCCAGTCCCTGTCGCTGATGCCCTCGTCGCTGAGGGCGGCTTCGTCGACGCTCAGAACGGGGCGCGGCAACGGCAAAATATCACGCTGAAGCCGACCGCACTTAGCGGCCGAAAGCTCGCAGGGCTCTAGATCAAGAGCTCCCGTGCACGGCGACCGAGGGGGCCGGGGGACTCCGGGAAGAGGTGCTCGAGGAGCGGGCCCACGTCAAACGGCAAGCGCAGCAGGTCCCCCGCGGCTCCAGCGATATCCCTCCGTGTCTCTCAGTGGGCCACCACCTCGCGCAACCCCGCCCGATGGGGTCGGGCGGGGGGCGCTCGGGGCAACGCCCTGCTGCTCCTGGAACCGTGGCCTCCTCGAGCAAAACCTGCTCGGTGGCTCGCCGCGACGCGCCGGGCCGCCAGTCGGGCCTCGGGCCCCCGCCGCCCGCGGCTCCACCCCAGGGGTCGACCGGGGGGCGCCCGGGGAGGGCCGCTTCGAGCGAAGCCGCCAGCTCGCGGGGCCGCCGAGGGCAGCGTGGCATTCCGTGCCCACCTCCGCTCGGACCATTCCAAGCCAGACGAGCAGCCGCGTCGTCCGCCTCGCCATCCTCAGCAGCCCACTCTAGCGGCGGCCGCGGCCGCGACCGCGGCCCTTCCCGCCAGAGGCCATCCGCGGGGGCCGCTGGCCCGCCGCAGCCGGGTGAGATGGCTGCCTGCGCCGCGGGCCTCGGCCGCGGCCCTCGCCCTTGCCTGCTGCTGGCTCCTCGGATTGGAGGGCGCGCCACTCCGCGGCATGCGCGATCCTCGCTCGACCTGGGAGCTCCGCCGCTGCAGGGCGCGGGCGGTCGCGGCGAGGCGTCCGCGGGCGCTTCGCCGTACCCGGCCGCCCGGGCCCGTCGGGGAGCGCCCCGTCGCGGGGGCCGGCGGGGGCGGCCGCGGCGCCCGCGACTGCCCCCAAGCGCGGCCTCGGAGACCGATGCGGGCGGGGCCCCTGCCGCGCGGCTGCCCCGCCATGGCGCGCCCGCGAACCTCGACCGCGGGGGCGAGCGCGCCGCCTCGGCCCAGGGGCCTGGAGCTGGGGCCGCTGGCCCGTTGGCCCGCGGCCGAGCGGGGGCGGCTGCGCGAAGGGCGGCCCCCCCCGAGGGCCAGCTCGAGCCGCGGCCCCGACCCCCGCTGCTCGCCCGCGGACGTCGCCCAGGCGCCGTCGGAGCACGGCGGCCCGACGCGCCGCGCGCTGCTCACCCGGCGACGCCAGGCTCGGGCGAGCGTCGCCCACGACCTCCAGCTCGCCCGCGACCTGCCAGCGCGCGCCCCCCAGGCTGAGCTCCAGAGCCTCGAAGCGCAGCGTCAGGACGTCCGAGAGCTACGCGAGGCTGCCACGCTCGAGGAGGTCGAGGGACGTCGCGAGTGCCTGCAGTAGCTCCCCGACAACGGAGACTCGCAGACTGCGGGCGGAGTAGTGGGCGAAGATGATGGCCGCCAGGTACGACATCACCTTGGGACGTGCTTCGCTGCCGCCCGCCCCCCCCCCCCCCCCCCCGCAGGCCCGCGGTGCGCGCCGCGCCCCTCGCAGCCTCGTCGCGCGGCGCGCTCGCGCTGGGGCGCGACTCCGCCAACGGCCTGGCGGGGGGGGGGGGGGCGTTGCGAAAATGCGTCGAGCCTTCGACGTCATCCTGGTCATCATCATCATCATCGCTTTCGGCCGAGGGGCTGCGACGTCGTCGGCGGCCACGCGCAGCAGTCGCGCCAGTTGGCCATGGGCGCCCCTCGGCCCGGGCCAGCCAGTGGGAAGCCGCCGCCGCCGCGAGATGGCGTGCTTTCAATGGGATTCTTTGGGTTCCCGGGATTTCAAACCTTGGAAGAAAACCACGCTTGGAATCACCGGGAGGTCCAGGGCTCAGAGCCCCAAGAATCCCAATGCAATCGCAGGGTTCGCGACGTCGGCGATGCGCGAACCGTGTTTTTCATGTGGATTGCTTGGACTTCTGGGATGCAAATCAACGAAACCCTGCGATTTCAATCGGATTCTTTGGATTCCTTGGATTTCAAGCTTTGGAGCAAAACCAACCTTGGGATCCCCAAGAGGTCCAGGGTTCAGAACCCCAGAAATCCAAATGACACCGCAGTTTCGCGACGTCGGCGATGCGCAAACGTTGCGATGAATTTGGATCCGTTGGATTTCTGGGATGCAGATCCATGAAACCTTACGATCTCATTGGGGTCCTGGGATTTCGGGGATTTCCATCCCTGACCTTTTGCGATCCGAATGATTTCAATGGGATTCATTGGGTTCCTAGGATTTCAAACCTTGGATCAAAACCAGCTCTGGGATCCCCAGGAGGTCCAGGGCTCGCAACTCCAGGAATCCAAATGAAATCGCAAGGTTCGCGACGTCGGTAATGGGCAAATCCTCAGATTTCATGTGGGTTCCTTGGATTTCTGGGGCGCAAGTCAATGGAACCCTGCGATTTCAATGGGATTCCTTGGATTCTTCAAAATTCAAGCCTCGGAGCAAAACCAGCCCTTGGATCCCCGAGAGGTCCAGGGCTCAGAATCCCAGAAATCAGATGGAAGCACAGGGTTCGCGACGTCGGTGACGGGCAAAACCATTCATTGCATTGGGATTCTAAGGATTGCTGTGATGCAAATCAATGAAACCCTGCGATGTCATGTGGATTCGTTGGATTTCTGGGTTTTCCAGCCCCAAGCCAAACGCAAAATACGAACCCTGGGGTCGCAAAAAGACAAGGATGGAAATCCCAGAGATTCCAAAACCCCAATGGAATCGCACGGTTTCGTGGATTTGCACCCCAGAAATCCAGGGATCCGCCTGCAATCTCAAGGCTTGCGCATCACCGACGTCGCGAACCCTGTGGTTGCACGGGGGGTCCTGGGATTCTGAACCCTGGATTTCCGGGGGATTTGCTCGAAAGCTCGAAATCCCAGGAATTAGAAGAACCCAATTGAAATCGCAAGGTTTTGTGCATTTGGAATCGCAGAAATATAGGAAACCGACTGAAATCGCAAAGGTTGCGTATCACCGACGTCGCGAACCCTGCGATTTCACTTGTAATCCTGGGATTCTGAGCCCTCGACCTCCTGGAGATCCCAAGGCTGGTTTTGCTCCAGGCTATGAGATCTCAGGAATCCTAGGAATCCAATTGAAATCGCAAGGTTTTGTTGATTTGCATTCCAAAAATCACAGCAATCTAATGACATCATATGGCTTGTCGCATCGCCGACGTCGCGAACCCTGCGATTGCACGGGAATTTCTTGGATTCTGAGCCCTGGACCTCCTGGGGATCCCAAGGTTGGGTATGGAATCGTAGGAACCCCAAAAACCCCAATGACATCGCAAGGTTTCGATGATTTGCATGGCAGAAATCCGAAGCAATCCAATGACATCACAAGGTTTGCGCATCGCCGACGTCGCGAACCTTATGGCTTCACTGGGGTCCCTGGGGTTCTGAGCCCTGGGCCTCCTGGAGATTCCAAGGTTGATTTTGCTACCGGGTGTGAAATCACAGGAACCCGAGGAAACCCAATGAGATCGCATGGTTTCGTTGATTTGCATTTCAGAAATCCGAAGAACCCAAATGAAATCGCAAGGTTTGCGCATCACCGGCGTCGCGAACCCTGTGTTTGCACGGGGAGTCCTAGGATTCTGAACCCTGGACCTCCTGAGGATCCCAAGGTTGGTTTTGCTCCAGGGTAGGAAATCCCAGGAATCCTTGGATCCCGAACGTAAACGCAGGATCTCGTTGATTTGCATCCCAGAAACCCCAAGAGCCCCAATCAAATTAAAAGCTTGCTGTGCTGGTTCTACAGGATGGCTCACGCGCTTGTTGTCCTCCGTGTAGAGGAAGCAGACGCTGGCATCTGTCACGTTGGTTGAAGATGCGCTGCTGGCGGATGCGGGCGAACAGCGAAGAAGAAGAGGAGCGGAGAGGGAAGGGAGAAAGGAGGGGAGCGGCCCGACTCCAGCCTCGTGGAAAGGAGGAAAACATAGAATGGGTGCTGGGGGGGGCAGTCCATATATGTATATATATATATATATATATATATATATATATATATATATATGTACACATGTATGTATGTATGTATGTATTCATACATATAGCTATATGTAATAGACATGCGTAACTACTTATGTATGATAATAAATATCCGCATCCACCGTCGGTGGAGGTCCGCGAAGATCGATCCCGCAGGCGGTGGTTATGGTTAAAACCCTACCTCGGAACACTGCAGGCGCGAATGGAAACACTCGGCGGCGAGCGAGGGGGGGAAGTGAGAAGGAGAAGGCCTTCGCAGAAGGCTCGGAAGCCCCCTGGCCTCCTGAGAAGTCTTCTGAGCCTTCCCCGGGCACAGAGACAACTTCTCCGAAGGCGCGAGGGCTTCTGAGAAGTCCCGCCGCCTCCTGAGGAGGGCTTTTCCTTTTCACTTCCACTGCCCCCTCGCTCGCCGCCGAAACACCCGTGCTGGCGCCCACGGGACCGCCTGCCCTACCGCGGAGGCCAGTCCACAAGAAACCTCCCAGAAGAGACTCAACCCTGAGACCCCAAGACGTCCATCGATTTTTGGTGCGGGGACGTCACGCCATCCATCGCAGAACCATCCAAACCCAAGAAACCCAGGCAGGGCACCCTGGATCATGAGGATGGCCGAAGAAGAAAAACGCCGTACACTGGAGGCCAGTCCAAAAGCAGCCTTGTTGCACAAGGAGCCCACCCCTGAGACCCCAGGACGTCCATCGACTGTTGATGTGGGAGCGTCACGCTCTCCATCGCAGAACCATCGAAACCCAAGAGACCTCGGCGGCCAGGGCGAGGGGTGCGACCGTCGGCTCGGTGCCTCCTCCTGGGAGGAGGAGGAGGAGGAGGAGGAGGAGGAGGAGGAGGAGGAGGAGGAGGAGGAGGAGGAGGAGGAGGAGGAGGGCACCCTGGAGGCAAGCAGGGCGCTTCTCTCTTCGCGTCGCTTTCCTTGGCATGGAGGCCTCACCTGCACCCCCCCCCCCAAACGGGGGGGCTCCTGCAGGCTCCGCCGCGAGGCCTGCGCCTGGCCGGCGGCCGCGGGGCTCCCGGCTCCTGGGCGCCGGGGCGGGGGCAGGCGGGCGGGCAGACGCCGCAGCGGCCGGCGCGCGCCGCAGCGGTGCTCGATCGAGGATCGGCGATCGCGGATCGAGGATCGGAGGATTGCAAAAAAAAACCAGGATTGCAAAAAAACCCGAAGGATTGCAAAAAAAAAAAAACCGAAGGATTGCAAAACAAAAAAACCCAAGGATTGCAACAAAAACCCAAAGGATTGCAAAAAAAACCTGGATTGCAAAAAAAAACACGAAGGATTGCAATCCTTCGGATCGGAGATGGCGGATCGCAGGCGGGCCGAGGACCGAGGGAAGATCGTGGAGCGAGGATCGGAGAGCGCGGATCGCGGATCGGAGATCGCCGGGGGAGGGGCTGCGCCGGAGGCGCCGCCAGGTGGTCCCGCCGCCGACCCACGAAATCCGCTCGGACATTGGATTTCTTCTTTCCTGTTCGTACTATTATTCCACTTTGGAGTGACATCGCGCGAAAAGCTCCTGGGGTATCCATGTCGGCGTCGCCGGAGGAAAAGCACTCGAGGATCGCCACCTGCACTGGGGTCACCTCCACGTTCAGCGTGCGGTCTGCGAGCTGCACCGACACCTCCACGAGACCCAGGCCTGCGGCCCTTCCGTACAAGAAGGGGGTCAAAGTGAGAGGGAGAACACGCAAGGCGAGCTCGCGTTAGATTGCACTGAATCCTTTCTATCTGCCGACTGGGAACCTTTGTGTTGATCCCCAAATGGCATCTGCAGGATTTACCCCAACGCTTGGGCAAAGGACTTTGCACACTGGAAGGGGAAGAAGTGAACGAGCAAAAGGAGGGGAGAGGAAAAAGGAAGAGCAGCAAAAAGAGCAATCAAGAGGAGCAGGAGGCTAGGGGAAGGCGGAGAAGGGGCAGGTTTTGAGGCTAGAAACGTGGCCCGCGCTAAAGAAAGACTGCCGTGCTGAACGAGGGGGGAAAGCAACGATCCTGAAATGTGGCCGACGTAAGGTTGTAACGGGAGCACCTTTTTTGAAGGACTGTTGACGACTCGATCGTAACACCCTGGAGGAACAATTGATACAATCCTGCGCGAAAGCCATTGGTTCAATGCGCAAGTAACAGGGGAGTACACGCGCGCATTGTCAGAGAAGAGAGGGAAGTCAGTTTTCATGTTGAATAGCTGTTGAGATGGTATGGAATAACAGAGGGGGAAGGGGATGAGGCGAGGCTGTCGGACTAAATCACAGGGAAAGGCAAACGTTTGACCAGGTGGCGGGAAGGGAATTGGATAGGACGAAGGATGAAGACGTTACACGAGCAGAGACGACGGAAAGAGAGAGCATTAATCGCTCAGCAGCTCAAGCATTCAACAATAGTTGCACATGTCATACAATTAGCTCTTCGAGAGCCCCCCACATCGACGGCACCGCTCGGCGCCCCATCACCTGTCGAGACTGCCCCACCCCCACCCCACCCCCTCAGCTCGTCCGAAAACGTCGCTTCCCCAATTCCCCTACCTCCCCCTGGCCAAAGCTGGTTAAGCCCCCAGCTCTTCTTCCAGCTGATGGCGCGGTTGGCCTTCACCTTTGCGAACGCGCTGGCGTAGTCCGCCAGAGCCTCCTCCAGCGTCGGCGGCAACTTCAGCTGTGGGTTGTCGGCCTTGGACAGCACGGAGGGCCAGTAGTGCTGCGACAGCACCAGCGCCTACCACGCCGCGCGTGGGTGCTCACAACAAGTGGTGATTGCCAACTGCCATCGACGGATCCACCCGTTCAATCGGATCACTGCAAATATCCGATGCGTGCGAACTCGGTTTCCCGATAAAGCGTCGTTCCGAATCGGATTGGCATTGCACGACGATCTGAGACCAGTCAGAGAGATCAAACGGACTCAGGTTGGTCACGTCGACCGTTCGTGAACAAGTCGACCCACTCGGGTCAGAGCTACACGCTGATTCAATCATGAGAGCCGACCTCATGCTGTGAAACGCGCTGCGTGTACAGCAAATTTCAGACATGACGGCGTAGTGCGCTCTGTTTCCTGATACCGCATGAGCTGTTCAATCTTGAACGATTTCACTGCCAGGGGCTCCAAAGACTGTCTGGAATAACGTCCTCGCCTGAAACACGGCGGAACCACCAAGCCCGTGCTGCGGGCACACCGATGCGGAACAAACCTACCGTAACGGGACCTGCAGAAGCAGTTTCTAGCTGTCAACTGCTACATGCCGAAATGCGATCGCCCTCTTCAGCAGGGTCCCTTGTTGCGATTTCGTGGTCATGGGGATTCATAGTGCGCCCTGCACAAGTAAAACTTACGATTAATATGCACGTTCGGACCACCGGCCACCATACAGTGGAGGCCAGTCCACAGCAAACCTTCCACAAGAAACCCAACCCTGAGATCCCAGGGCATCCACTGACTTTTGGTGTGGGAACTTCACGCTCCCCATCGCGAGACCATCGAAACCCAAGAAACCAAAGGCACCCTGGACGCAAGCAGGGTGCTTCTTGGCATGGGCTTCCACTGCGACCCCAAGATGCATCAGCGATGCTGCCAGGCACCCGCCCGTCCCAAGGGCGCCTGGGGGAGCCTAAGCTGGAGCCTTTGTTGGCCTCCGCGGTCCTATAAAGACGTGACTTCGACCGGGCGTCGTCCAGATGTCGACCAACTGTCGTCCAGATGTCGACGGTACTGTCGTCCAAATGTCGACCAAATGTCGTCCAAATGTGCTTCTTGGCATGGGCCTCCACTGTACTGTCGTCAGGGCAGGCCACGCGTCCTGAAGGAAGCGACGTCGCTCCGCCCCTGGAGCGGTGGCACGAGATTGCAGCGGAGGTGCACGTTGCGTACCCTCCCACGGCCCAAGAGGCCGCAGAGATCGCCCCAAGACGGCCCTGGAGGCGCCCCAACGGGGCCCCAAAACGGTCCAAGAGGGCCCCCAGACGGTCCCCAAACGGCCCAAGAGGCCCCAAAGATCGTCGTCCCAAGACGACCCCAGGTGGCCCCCCAACAGGGGCGGGAAACGGTTCAAGAGGGCCCCCAGACGGCCCAAGAGGAGGAGGAGGAGGAGGAGGAGGAGGAGGAGGAGGAGGAGGAGGAGGATGAGGAGGAGGATGAGGAGGATGAGGAGGAGGACGGAGGACGGACGGAGGACGGAGGACGGAGGAGGGAGGAGGGAGGGGAGGAGGGAGGAGGGAGGAGGGAGGAGGAGGAGGGAGGAGGGAGGAGGGAGGAGGGAGGAGGGAGGAGGGAGGAGGAGGGGAGAAGGGAGGAGGGATGAGAGAGGGGGGAGGACCGTGGAGGCAGGATGAAGCGACTCTGGGGGGGGATCGCGCCCCACTACAAGGACCCCCCATTTCTGGCCGGCTTCGGCGTGCCTGTCTGCCTACGTTCAAAAGCACTGGCCCAACACATCCCCCCCCATGCCTCCCTGCGTCTTCGCGTCCCTCCTCCTGATATGTCTCCCCCATCCTGTCTATTCAAAGCTAGGTCATATCGTCCCTGCTCCATCCCCGACCCCTAGAAGAAAGGAGGAGGAGAAGGAATAATGTTAGCGAGCGTGGACCCTAAACAGTATGTTTCGAGCAACCGATGTCGAGCAATATAGGTGGTGCTACCTATGTGGAGCAACCTAGGTTGTGCAATCTATGCTGTGCAATATACGTGGTGAGTTATACGTGGTGCAATCTACATTGTGCAATATATGAGGACCGATCTACGTGGTGCAGTCGATGTTGTGCAACGCGTGACGTGCAATATATGTGGTGCCACCTATGTGGTGCCTTTTCTGTTAATATATTCTTGCAATACATACAAAGCTGTGCAAAACATCGCAAGGCCCAGCATTTCCAGAGAATGCAGCGCAATGCGATTGCAATGCGATGCAATGCAATGTAAACCACTGCGACGAACGCAATGCAATCTGATGCAAAGCTAAGCAAAAACCTTTGTGACTCAATACATTTAGTGCAATGGTTCGCAGTGATTGCCTGCAATGTGTACAAGGAGATGCAAATCAATATAACGCAACGCAACGCATTGCAATGCAAAGCAATGCAACGCCTTGCAAGGCAATGCCAGGCAATGCTGATAATGGCATGGCAGTGTGCAGCAACGCGCAGTAATGCCAAACCATGCAATGCGACTGCAATGCAGCATGCTGTCAATGCAGTTCGGCGCAATGACCCACAAGCAATGCAGAGCAATGAACAGCCATGCAACGCAATGCCAAGCCATGCAGAGCAAATGCTGAACGGCGCTGAGCACGGCATCCCAGTGCTAAAGCAGTGCAGAGCAAAGCCAAGCCATGACGTGCCATGCGCTTGCAACTCCGTGCGACTGCAATGCCATGCGAGCAATGCAGAGCGATGCGCGGTTGTGCAGAACACCGCAGGCCCAGACGACGAGGCGGCGACGAGGCGGCGACGGGGCGCCGACGGCACGGCGACGGCGACGACATGGCCGCCGGGTCGACCCCCCAGGCCCAGTTCCCTAGAAAAGAGGTAAGACCCCAGCCATGCGAGCACTGTTTGGGGTATGTGTTACATCTCTATGTGTATAGACAGACACACATAGATATATACATACACACATACATACATACATACATACATGCATGCATGCATGCATGCATGCATGCACGCATGCCTGCATGCATGCACGCATCCATCCATACATACATACACAAACACATACACATACACACATACATACATACATACATACACAAACACATACACACATACACACATACACACATACACACACCCATGCGCACATGCACATACACATACATGCATACATCCACACATGCATACATACACCCATATATGCATACATGCATACATACATACACACATACATATGTATATACACACATACATGCGCATATCCCCCTCCAGCACCCGTTAATGTTGCATCGGGTCTTTGAGCTCTCCCTTCGCACTCTTGCTGGCCATCCGCCTTCTTTTCATCTGTGCCTGCTCATCCAACGTTCCTATTCGTCATTGCCCTGGTGTTTCTCGTGCTGGAATCTAATTGGAATCAGCTGGACGGGGGACCTGCTCAATTCGAATTCGACTCCAACTGGGTTGTAGTCGGAACCAAATTCGAACTGGCTGGATTTAAGATCCGCTCCACCCCAATTAGATGTTCATTTAATCCCAATGGGAATCTAGTTGGCATCAGCTGGATCTGGAATGCTCAATCCCACTCATATTCCAACCATATTCTAATGGGGATCCACTTGGAATCCGCCGGACCTGGGATCTGCCCGAATTCTATTAATGAGTACGGTAGGAACGCGTGTGGAAGCAGCTGCATCAGGGATTTGCATCATTCCAAGTCGATGCTAATATCAATTACAGTAGGAATCAAACTGGAGACAGCTGGATCTGGGATCTGCTCCTTTCCAATTCGATTCCAAGTAGATCCCAATACGAATCAAATTAGAATCAGCTGGACATGTGACCTGCCCCAATCCAATTCGAACACATGGCTTCCCCATTTCTCACCCCAGAACTCCCCAAACATCTAAATGAAAACACATGGTTTTCGCACCTCTGACACTGAACACCGTGTGTGTTCATGTGTATGTTTGGGATTGCTGGGGTCGGGAATGAGGAAACCATGTGTTTTTCATTGTGATAGTGAGATTATAAGGACTCTGGGGATTCGAGCTCCTGGGAGGGCCCCAGGCGGGATGGAAACAAAACATCACAACATCGAATCATCCCATGATCCCAAACGTCCCAATGAAAACACAAGGTTTCCGCACCCCTGACATTGCAAACTTTGTGCTTTCACTGGGATTAGGTTGGGTGGCTGAGAGGGAGAGAGAGAGAGAGAGAGAGAGACTGAGGGACAGGCAGACAGACAGACAGAGACAGAGAGAGAGAGAGAGAGACAGACAGAGAGAGAGAGAAAGGGAGAGAGAGAGAGAGAGAAAGAGCGAGAAAGACAGAGAGAGAGAGAGAGAGACAGAGAAGAGATAGATAAATAAATATCGAGAGGGAGAGAGAGAACGAGAGAAAGAGAGAGAGAGAGAGACGGGGGGAGAGAGAGAGAGAGAGAGAGAGAGAGAGAGAGACGGAGAGGAGGAGGAGGAGGAGGAGGAGGAGGAGAAGGAGGAGGAAAGGACATGCACCACCGTCGCAAGCGAATGCTAGTACATATATATATATATATGTATATGAATATTCATGGATCGACCGACTCAAGAATCTCTGAATCAAACAATGCTGGAACCAAGCATCATCTCAAACACTTAAAATCCAATAAGAAGCCTGATCGTCTTCTGTTCTGCCCACGTCTGATGCCACATCCATGCCTGGACCTGACACGAAGACATGCGCGGCACATTTTCCATGGCGCAAGCGGATATGTGGAAATGCTCCTGCTCAGCCTGCTCAGAAAGCGTGAGACTAACGTGACCACGGACCGCGCCAGAGCGATGAATATCTGGTCTCGCTCAGTCCCCCTCCTTGTCGTCAACTGCGGTGTCGGGCCCGTCAACTGCGTCTCCAGAGAAGTCCGTCAAGGTCGCCAGCAGCTCGCATATGGTGGTGTGCTCGCGGCCGAACGCCTCCTCGAACGGCCGCCGGCCAAACTCGTTCCTCATGTTGGTGTCGGCCTTGCTGCTATTCCTCCTCCTCCTCCTCCTCCTCGTCCTGCCCTCTCCTCCTCCTCCTCCTCCTCCTCCTCCTCCTCCTCCTCCTCCTCCTCCTCCTCCTCCTCCTCCTCCTCCTCCTCCTTCTCTTCTTCTTGGCTGATTGGGATCTCCAAAACTGCGGACTCCCCAAGTGGGGAAAATTGGCCAGGGTGGGCTCAGGGGGGGAGCACACAGCGAACTTGGGGCACTCTGACTGGCCGACCGCTGGATCCCTCCAAAATGGCCAACTTGGGGAACCCGAATCCCCAAACTTTTGATCCGCGGGTCGACAGCGAGCCTCTTCCGATAGAAGCTAAGCGGGCCGCGCACATCTTTAATTAACAGAGAGGGGAAGGCAGAAGGAGGGGCCTCACGTCAAGGCAAAGAGGGGGCCCGAATCCCCAAGCAGGTCGACGTCTCACTTCTGCTCCCACCGCCTTCCGCCGGCCTACCGCCGGCTTCCGCCAGCAGACCCGCCACGGGTTCACTTTAGCCGCTTTCCGCCAGGAGCCGTCCGCCGATCGCGGGATGCGCCGAAGGTGGGGTCGGTTCAGGGGCGCGCCAACTGTCGAATCCACAGGCAGCTTTACAAGTCGGCCCACCCTGGCACGCAGCAGCTCCTTGCACACCTCCTCGTGCCCGTTGAGCGCGGACCAGTGCAACGCGCAGTTGCCCCCCTCGTTCGCTGCCGCGCAGTCAGCACGAGCTTCCAGCAGCGACCGCACCACCTCCAGGTGGCCATTGCCGCTGGCCATCATCAGCGCGCACGCCCCACCGCCCGCGCGAGCGTTGACGTCCATGCCTGACGCCAGCCCCGCCTGCAGGATCAATCACTCCCCGAATCTTGACATTGGAGCGGACCGGCATGTGTCGGACCGGGCCGCCCCGGCACGCCGGCACGGAGTCGGCATCGGACTGGATCGCTCGCGCCGAGATGCACGGCAACGCCGTGCGAGCATCGGTGTGCCCCGGGCCGTCGACGTCGGAACCTCGGAATCGAAGCGGATCGAGCCGGCCGACGCTGTCGAACCAGATCGATCGGACCGAACTTCACCCTGGCCTGCACGTCGTCCATGTCCCCGTAGCGGGCCGCAGCGACAAAGTCCACGACCTCCTCCGACGGCTCCACTGCGGGAGCCTCCTGCGCTGGCCGGCTGGCGGTCCAAGGTAGGCCAACATGGGGGTCCAAAGCTGGGCGAGCCACCCCGAAGGGGTGCAGAATTTTCGCGTCGCGATGACGTGGGCGTGCGAGCACAACCCTCCGACATCGGGGGGACGTGGGATACGGGCAGGTGGGGTTAGACGGACATCGCTCTAAGCGGTCCCCGAAATAAAGAAACTGTGAGCATCCAGCTGGGTCTGTTCCCAAACCCCCAGTTGCGCATTCGCAGACCCCCAGGGAGAAGCGAGGACCCACCTGGATCTGCGTAGTCCCATATACCGCCGTGCCTCCCAGGAGCCCGCGAAAGTGGTGATCGTTGCGCAATTTGTAGCCACACAGGGAGCAGCGCGGTCCCGCCTGGATCCGCGTACTTCCCGCCTGGCTCACGAAAGTGGCGACAGCTACGCAGTCTGACGCCACCCAAGGGGGGGGGCAGCACAGGAGCTGGCAGGATGGGGGGAGGGATGTGAAGCAGAGGGGGTGGGTACCACAGTGTTTTTTTCCTCTCCAAAACGGGAACGCACCGCCGGAAGAGCTGGGAAACACGGGAGAAACGGGGGCAGAGGAGGAGTAGCGATCCACAAACGACCCCTCCGCCCTGCGGCTGCACTCGAAGGAGGAGAGGAGGAGGAGGATGAGGAGGAGGAGGAGGGTGGCCCCCCTGGGTGGCCCCCCTCCCTGGACACCCGGCCAGCCGGCAACGCTCCTGCGGGCTGGGCGCCGCCCGCTCCGGCGGCGCGGAGGCCTGGGCGGCGTCCGCGGGCGCGGCTGCCGCGCCGCCGGCGGCGCACGCGTCCCCGGCGCCCTCGCCTTCGCCCTCGTCCTCGTTCGCTTTCCAGACATGATCGCGTCGTGAAAGAATCAGGACGGGCGTTTTTTCGCTATCTTCGGGCCCTGGGAGCCCTCGCCGGGCCTCGGGAGCGTCAAAAGACGACTCAGGATGAAAAGCCGGTCCTGGGGAGAGGGTCTGGACTTCCGGGGACGCCGTCCTGAAAAAATCAGGACGTCGCATGTCTGGGAGTTTTTTACCTAACAGCGAAGACTGATAGGTTTCTAGTGGTCTCAAAAGAGCTCACAGATCACTCCACAGGGGGGTCCGGGCAGGTGTTGGGGCGTTTCCGGGCGGCATGAGCCGGGCTCGTTTTTCACCAACAGTCACACACTTCGTGCTCTTCGCCTTCCCAGAACTCCATTCCCAGGCCACATTCTGGGGGGCCGGATGCAACAGTCACACACTTCGTGCTCTTCGACATCCCAGAACGCCATTCCCGGGCCACATTCTGGGGGCCGGATGCAACAGTCACCACTTCGTGCTCTTCGAGTTCCCAGAACTCCATTCCCGGGCCACATTTTGGATGCCCGGAGCCAACTGTAGGCCACTTCGTGCTCTTCGATTTCCCAGAACTCCATTCCCGGGCCACATTTTGGATGCCCGGAGCCAACTGTAGGCCACTTCGTGCTCTTCGAGTTCCCAGAACTCCATTCCCGGGCCACATTTTGAATGCCCGGAGCCAACTGTAGGCCACTTCGTGCTCTTCGAGTTCCCAGAACTCCATTCCCGGGCCACATTTTGAATGCCCGTAGCCAACTGTAGGCAACTTCGTGCTCTTCGACTTCCCAGAACTCCCATTCCTGGGCCACATTTTCAGCAGGGGCAAGAGCACGACGAGGAGGAGGACGAGCAAGACCAGGAGGACGAGGACGAGCAGGAGCAGGACGAGGAGCAGGAGGAGCAGGAGAAGAAGGACGAGCAGGAGGAGGAGGAGGACGAGCAGGAGGAGGAGGACGACCAGGAGGAGGAGGACGACCAGGAGAGGAGGAGGAGGAGGAGGAGGAGGGGAGGGGGAGGAGTACCAGGAGGAGGAGGAGGAGGAGGAGGAGGAGGAGGAGGAGGAGGAGGAGGAGGAGGAGGAGGAGGAGGAGGAGGAGGAGGAGGACGAGGACGAGGAGGAGGAGGAGGGGGGGGAGAGTACCAGGAGGAGGAGAACGAGGACCACCAGGAGGAGGAGGAGGAGGAGGAGGAGGAGGAGGAGGAGGAGGAGGAGGAGAGAACACCAGGAGGAGGAGGACGAGCAAGACGAGGAGGACGAGAACGAGGACGACCAGGAAGAGGAGGAGGAGAGGAGGAGGGGAGGGGGAGGACTACCAGGAGGAGGAGGAGGAGGAGGAGGAGGAGGAGGAGGAGGAAGAGGAGGAGGAGGACGAGGAGGAGGAGGAGGAGGAGGACGAGGAGGAGGAGGGGGGGGAGAGCACCAGGAGGAGGAGAACGAGGACCACCAGGAGGAGGAGGAGGAGGAGGAGGAGGAGGAGGAGGAGGAGGAGGAGAGAGCACCAGGAGGAGGAGGACGAGCAAGACGAGGAGGACGAGAACGAGGACGACCAGGAGGGAGGAGGAGGAGGAGGAGGAGGAGGAGGAGGAGCAGGAGAAAGAGGAGGAGGAGGAGGAGGCAGGCTGAAGCTGAGGCTGTGACTGCGACTGCCGTTGCCGCTGCGACTGTCATCGCGAATGCGACTACGACTGCGAGAACAGCAGAATTCGACAACTGGATTTTCATCTGAATCTTAAGGGGAATGCTTTCAGATATGCTTCTACACATCGCTGTTAGGTTGCTTTGCCGGGATATTTTTTTTCTGCAGGAGGCCGCACCCCCACCCTTCGGCGGCAACTCCCGGGAGCCTCCCGTGCCATCCTGCTGGCTCTCTCTCGCGGATCGACGCCGACCGACGCGAGTCGGCCATGCTTCGACGCTGGTCGACGCCACATCGGCGCGTTCCGATCGATTGCCAGACGCTAGCGCACGCTAGTGCGCGCTAGCGACGGAATGGCGATGACACAAGGCTCCCGTGATCTGCGACCGAGCCACCCCAAGCACGATGACACAAGGCTCCCATGATTTGCTTCGAGGCCCGATCGTGAGGATGCCCCGCGCTAGCGCGGCACAGCTAGCACACCGCACTCCCACCTTTACCCCCCGCCACCTGGCACCCCTCTTCCGTCTCTTGATGTCGCATGGGGGACCTTGTCTATGTCCCGTCGCGCCGCCATCCGCGTCGGATCCGCGGTCGAATCCATGCCGAACTTGTCGAATCCGCGCCGCATCCGTGTCGAATCCACAGCGGATCTGCGTCGACTCCGCGTCGGACATACGTGGGCCGCCAGCAAAAGGACAGCCATTCACAGGATCGATGTGCGCCCCCCCGAAGTTGCAACGCAACTTCTGGGGCTGGGCCGAAAAGCTTCGAGAATCAGCTGCGAGGGTGCCTGGCCGAAGGCGCCACAACAAGCATACCCACTCCCATCACTTGGCCCCCCGCCCCTCTGGGCTGGGAGAGGGGGCAAGCTGGGGGATGGGGGGGTGGTCTTCCCCCTTTGCTCCCCTTTCACCTCGGCTACGCGCAGGAGTGGCGGTGCGCAAGCATGACCTCATTACGCTTGGTGCGCGCGTGGCGGCCTGCGTGCGCGAGTCTGGCTCCCAGCCGCGAACCCTGGACGACGCGCACCGACGAAGCCACTCCTCGCAGGGGACATGTCGACCCCTATCCCAGGCTTCGTGGGGCCCTCGACTGGGCCAGCAATGTGGGGTCCGACCCTGGGCTATACGATTGGGGGGGCGTTCATCCTTGATGGGGGGTGCGTCCGAAGAGCCCTCCTTGGGGTGTATCCCAGGGCTTCCTCCTTTCCCTGAGCGGCCAAACGTTTCGGGCGGAACTCGGGGACTGGAGGAGAAAGATCGCCTGCGAACTCTGGCAAAAGGCCCCTCCTTCGTTTTGGACGCTCGGAGTGGGTACGGAGAAACTTGGCACGATGCCCAACAACACATGTTACCCCAAACCGACCCTGGCCGCTCTCGGGCAGGCGGGCCTCCGGTCTCAGACGAACAACGCCCGCGGCGGCATGGACAACGAACCCTGTTCAAAATGAACAGGAAATGCTGTCGGTCTTTGTGCCCACTCTTTCCGTACTCTTTTTCATCGTACCGACCCGTGCAACCCACCAAATGTCGCCGCGCCGTTTTTTCTGAGCGCGCCCTACAACCCTCGTCAAAAATGTAGTAGACGAAGCCGGCACTGCGGCAAACCCCACGGCGAGCCCTGCGTCCGAGGCGGCATTGGCCCTGGTGGCCGCGGCGCCACTGCCGCGCGTCGGAACAAACTTTGGCGGCGCGCAGAGGGGGGTAAGGGTCGGCGGTGGACGAACCTCCCTTTAGTACACCTCCCCTTAGTGAAGACGGCCTGGGACCGAAACCGACGGACCTGGACCCGCAAAAATGACGGCCGCGGCGCCCTCCCGCGAACCGAAAACGGCCAATTCCTTAATCGACGTGTCAGGGCAGGAGGTCTGTCCACCCCCGAAAGGGGGGGGGAAGGCTTCTTAGGAGGCTGCTTCTTAGAAGGCGCCGGCCCTACACCTACAGACAAGGCCCGCGCCTTCTAAGAAGAAGAATAACATGTATTTCTAAGAAGCCTTACCCCCGCCCCCTACCCCCCCTCTGCGCGTGGCCGGAAACTGCGCGGCGACAGACGACAGGTTTGCGAGGTCATGTTTTTTCAATCCCGGGTCTGGCGGCATCTCTGCTTTGGTCTGGGCCTTCGGGGGCCGCCATCGGGCCCCCTTGTGCTCTCAGGAGGGGAGCTGGGACAAACGGCTACCTCCGGGGGAAGAGGTCGGCAACTCCTTGGGGACGCGGCTTGAAAAAAAACGCAGGCTGTGTGGGTCCTCCTTCTCCTCATCGGATACCTCTACCTTGTCGAACTTGGAGTAATCCACCGGCATGGCATCTTACGCCCCGCTGTGCCTGTGCCCTGGGCCAGAACGGCTGCGAAGGGACATCTCCGCGCAGCGCTTTGAGCAGGTGCGTGCCGTGCACCTCTGACACCTGCACAACGCACATGACGTTCGGAACGCGTGTCCGTGTAGACCTGCGCGCGCACAGTTGCTCATTGGCACATGAGCGCTACCAGGTACTTGCAGAGAGTAAATATCAAATGTTCGGGGCGTAACAACATGTGCGAGCCGCACACTGACCCTGGAATAGTACGTTTCAATGTTGCGGCGCGACTGCGAAACAGAGCGCGACTGCCTTGTGCCCTGAAGCTCCCCAGGACGGCATGCCCTCTTGCTGCACTCGTCGAGCGGCACGCAAGCGTTCCCGACAATGCCCCGTCGGTATTCAGGCGACGTCCCGCTGGTTCTTTTGTCCCCATGGCTTGATGATGGTGTCCTACAGGTGTCCCCACGGCTTGTCGATGTGGTCCCGATACCTTGTTCAGACTACCCCGATGGTAGCATCATGATTTGATGATGACGGCCTGAAGATTATGCATTGGTAGTCTGTTGATGGCGTCCTGGGTAATTTGTAGATGGCGTCCCGATCGAGTCGCGAGACGGCTACCATGGCGGCCCGCTAGACGTCGGTGCTGCCTCGATGTATTCGCGATTTGTTTCCTGTTTGTTCTTGGACGGTATCGCAGCTTGACTGCGATGATGTCCACGTGGCGGCCTGGTCGACCTGCCATTGGGTAAACACTGATGGATGCGCGACGATGTCCAGGTTGCTTTCCGAAGAAGTGAATATTGGTTTCCGGAGGTAATGCGATCGCCTTTTGAGGACCTCCCCGCGTAATGTGCGAGTGCGTCATCGTTGGTCGGTGGTGTTCGATGGTGCTCACACAGTTTGGAATTGCAGCGTTCAGCTGATGTGGGGTGGTGTACAACGGCTGTGCAAGAAGGCTTCCGATGGTGCCTCGCCTACCTTTCGATGATGTTCCGACTGAGTTGCAATTGGTCTTGCAATGGTGTCCTCCTGGTCGTCTCGTTCTCGCGCCAGGGGTGTATCAAATCGCTTGAGCTGACCTGCCAAAGGCCAACTGCAGGGGAAGACGTGCGCGCTCGAGCGCATGGATGCACACGCCAACGTACCCATAAGCATGCCTGCGAACGGCAAGCTCGTGCCCTGCAGATCTGCGACTTGGCTTCTGATGCCGCGCGGGTCGTGCAACCTCGGGCGACTGCGGCAGTCCAGCAGCGCAGATCGCTCGATGTCGGCCGACGCATGGCCACTGGCGGCGTTCAGCCTCAACTGCCCGCGCAGGGGTCGTCGCCAGGCCGACACGGCACGATCCTGCCGTATAAACATGCCCGACAATGCGAGCACGCGAGCGACAACTGTGCAACGCAGACTGCGCACTTCGATGGCGTCGTCGAAAGTGCGCCGAGTGGCGCCCGGCGTGCAAGTGTATCAGCCTGCGCCACGAAGCGTTCCAAACTTGAGCATGACGCATGGCGTGCACCAGGAGACGCACGTTGTGGGGTGCAAGAATCATTTGCGTGATTCGATCCGCCACCGTGGCGTGCCGCAGGCACCGAGTGGAGTGTTCTCAGGTCCCTTCGCGTGCCCCCTCGAGTGCTCTGCATTTGACCCAGCGAACACTCCTTGAGGGGCCCAGACCCCAGAGTTCTGCGTGCTCTTGTGCGCTTCCTGGGCTTCTCGCGTGACTGATCCGGCAATCCGAACTCCCTGAAAACAACGCGTTTCTGAAAGTGTTCGGCAGCAGAGGGTGGCACCACGAAGGGTCCTTGGGAGGAGAATAGTGGCAGGCTGGTCCTACGGCCACTAGATTTGAGCAGGGACCGACCGTCCCGGCATTCCTATAGTCCTACCACGAAATGTTCTTAGAACCCGAAAATGTTATAATAACATAAACAATGTTCTTAGAACATCAACCCGATGTGTTCAAACAAGACAGACTCCGCCAGAAATGTCCTAACAACACTTCGTGGAAGCCATAAGCGAGCCAGGACGCTTCGCCACTGCTTGATAGATCCTCCACCGTGCCCTTGCGGCAAGGGCTGGCGTGTCCTCAGGCCCTCGGCCCGGCCAGTTCGATAGCCCGCAGTGCTCAAGGCTGGGGCTTCTCTGCGGGGCAGGGGCCCGAGACTGCCACACCTCCCGGGGCTTGGCGCGTGCCCGGCTGGGCTTCCCTCGCACGACTTCGGCGGCGAGCGAGGACAAGGAGAAGGCCTTCTCGGAAGGCGGCGGGACTGCTCAGAAGCCCCTCGCGCCTTCCGCGAAGTTTGCAGCGTCTTCGGGGAAGGCTTCGGGCAACTTCTCGGAAGGCCGACAGACTTCCGAACCTTCCGAGAAGGCCCGCACCTTTCGGGGATCTTCTGACTCGGGTCAATCCAGACTGGGGTCAGACAGGCCTTGCAGAATCCTGCACGCTCCTGCAAGATCCTGCACCCACGCCGGGGTCGATGCGACCCTGGCCCTGCAGGATGCTGCAAGATCGGACGCTCTGGCTGACCCCCGTTTGCATTGACCCCCCCGTCTCTTGAGCCCCGACCCCTCTCACTTCCCCTCCCCAAGGCTCGCCGCCGATGATTTCTTCGGGCCGAGAAGCTCCCCAAGACGGGCCAAGAGACCCCCAAGAGCTCGCCAACGGCCCCCCTTCGCCAGGAATGCTGGGGGAACAGACGGAGCCTGGAGGCAGCGGGCGCGGGACCCCAGGACTTCTCCCCAGGGGAAGCGCCTCACCACTAGCTCGCTTCTTGACGGAAACAAGGCCTTCCCCACGAGACCAGGACAAGGACAAAATCGGACAAGGATGAAGCAGGGATCTCTGAGAGGCAACGGTTCCAGAGGATGTGCAAGGCGACCGCGGCCCTTCTCAGAGAGTTCCGGTAAGCTCCGAGGGCGTTCCGGAACGCTCTGGAACGATGTATCCTGTCCCAGCCCCACCCGAGGCGATCCTGGGGACAAGTGACGGCCATGGGAGCCAGAAAGCGGCAAACAATCTGCAAGACCCTTGGCACGCTCAACGCAGGGAGGGAGTGGGCAGGCAGCAGAGAGCGCTGTCCAAAAGCGACAGCGCCCGCCGTTGGGCCGGCGACGTGTGTCGTCAACGGGCGGCGTCCGCGGCAGCGAGCTCTGGTACGGCAGGTTCGTGTCGTGATGACCTGGGCGTTGGTTCCTGACATCGCGGGGATCGTTCAACCTTGAACGATCGGCCGCTTCCTCAAGGTCAGATCGTTCAGCATCGACCGATTCTGGGTCGCCGGCGGCGCTCAACGTTGAACGCGGGCGGCGGGGTCGCCGCCGGTCGAGGCGACGCGAACCTTCCGTAGCTGCCGTGAGTTGTCGTCGCGATTCTTCCCGCACAATCGGGGCGTTGACCGAAGGAACCCTAAATAAGGAACGAGGCCCCTTTTGTCCATAAGTTAAGCTTCGGATCCCGATCGAAGACCGAATTCAGGAAAGCCTGAGGCGAGCTGCAAAACAACTACGGAACACGGAGCCCCTCCCAAACGAAAAGGGTTCCTTCTTCAGCGCTGGGACTGTGCCCGTGTCGAAATCTCCCCAAGGGGGCCCTTGCGCGGTCGACCGTGGGCTCCTGGCTGCCGGTGCGCCCTCGGCGGCCACCCGCGCGAACGCTGGACGGTCCAATCTTGAACTGGCCATCGCTCGGACGTACATTTCCTGTGTTTTTTTCGGTTTCGTGCGTGGTTGTTTCGCGAAGTGATCAAGGATGCTCCTCGATGGTCCCCGCCGAAGGAAACATGTGTGATTCCCGCTCACTCCCCGTGGCCTTCCTGCTCCTTCCCTGCTTCCCCGCTCTATCTCTCACGCCCGCCTTGTCGCCGCCATTTTGTTTCAAACTAGGGCCCTTGGCCTTAGAGCTACGCAGAGAGTTTCGCCGCGCGATTCCTCGACAAACGATATCAGCGATATCCATATCACAGTGGTAGCTTGGAGCGAGGCTCGCTATCCCGGCCCGCGGGGCCGTATACCCAAGACGACGTCCGCGACGTCGCACTCCATACTGGAATCGAGGCCCAGCGGCCTCCTCGCGCTGTTGCTCAGCGCCTACGCCTACGCCAGCGTCAGCGACGCCAGCGCCTACGCCAGCGTCAGCGACGCCAGCATCTACGCCAGCGTCAGCGACGCCAGCACCAACGCCAGCGTCAGCGACGCCAGCGACTACGCCTACTACGCCTACATCCCTGCCAGCTCCAACGCCAGCGTCAGCGACGCCAGCAACCCCATCTTCTTTCCCACCCTCAGCAGCGACGACAGCTACCTCTCCTACGCCTGTGTCAGCGACGCGGCATACTTCCTCTACGACGGTGTCAGCGACGCCACATATTTCTCCTACTACGAAGGTGTCAGCGACGCCACATACTTCTCCTACGACGGTGTCATCGACGCCACATACTTCTCCTACGAAGGTGTCAGCGACGCCACATATTTCTCCTACTACGAAGGTGTCAGCGACGCCACATACTTCTCCTACGAAGGTGTCAGCGACGCCACATACTTCTCCTACGACGGTGTCAGCGACGCCATATACTTCTTCTACGACGGTGTCAGCGACGCCACATACTTCACCTACGACGGTGTCAAGATGACGGAGTTCACGCACAACCAGTCAGTGATGCCAAGCTGGAATGGAGATCCAGCGAAATGGCGAGATTACAAACAGGAGGTAAAATTGTGGAAGCTCAGTGAGAACTTGGAAGTCACACAAAGTTTGGCATCGAAGTTAGTCCTGCGTTTGACGGGTACAGCCAGGTCGGCTGCTCTCAATATGACGGAGCAGGAGCTCCACCCGCCGCCGGACGACGGCATCGAGGATGCGAACGAGAAGAAGCGCGATCGCAACCAGAAGGGCATCGAGAACGTCCTAATGCACCTCGAGGCAAACCTAGGCCAGCAGAAGCCGGTGCAGAAGGGAGAGACGCTAGAAAAGTTCTTCGAGTCGACTCAGCACCATCGC